GTATCTCATATTACTCTTGAGGAGAAGATGAAGAGATGAATTTGATGTTAATATAATCAGATGGAATCAGAACTAGTTTTATGGCCTCAATTAACATTAATAGTTAATAATTAATAATTACAGTTAATAGTTCATTGTCAATTTGGCAGGAGTGGAGCACCCCATGAGTGTGTTCTGGATTTGTGATGTTAAATATTTTTATCAATGACTTATATAATGGCATAGATTGCATACTCATTAAACCTGCATATGATACTAAGTTGAGAAGGCTAACACTGGATCCAAATAAATTGCCAGGCTAGAGCACTGGGCTGATTCTGATAAATGAATTTCAGTATGAACAAATGTAAAATGTCATTCTTATGTATAAACAATTCAACTTCACAAGTATGAGATTGGAAAGGCATGGTTAGAAATAGTTCTGAAAATTATTCTGTGGTTTTAGTGGACCGAAAGCTTAATGTGAGATAGCAGTATTATGTAGCAGTCAAAAAAAGTTAATGTGTCTATAGACTGCATTGAGGGACCTAGCTTCTGGAAATAGGGAAATAATAATCTGCAATAGGGATCTCTCAATTGATATGAGTTACTAAAGTCAGATGTTGGAAACAGAGCACCTCTAAACTGTGACTTGATTATCATAACATGAGGGTTTCATAATCTGGCTGGTATAAATTTGAGGTGCTGTATCCCATGACTTCAACATGTAGTTTATTCTTGCTTCTTTTTCTTTTAACAAACTGCTACTATTTTAAAAGTTTTTTTGCCATCTAAAAAATGTAATTTTATTAAATTTTATTTCTATATTTGCAAAAGAAACTTTATTAAAAATAAAAGAAGAAAACAAAATCAAACACTTAACCGTGCATGTTATACAGCTAGATCATCATGAAAATATTCCTCTTAGTAGGAACTCTTTGGTTGTAACTCTTGGTATGGTCAGTAATTAATATAGCTGCAGCTACTTGAAAGTTCTTTTGAGTTCTTGTGGCTGTGATAGCTGTTTTGAATGAAGTTTATGTTTCCATCCTGGTCCCAGTTTCCAAAAGGAAATGATATTGGAGATTTCTATGGCAGGATTATCTTGCTCTCTTTTTTAAAGCTTATTTTTTAAAAAAATCATTTTAAGGGACAACTAGGTGGTGCAATGGATTAGAGCACCAGCCTTGGAGTCAGGAGGACCTGAGTTCAAATGTGACCTCAGACACATAATATTTCGTAGCTATGTGACTCTGGGCAAATCACTTAACCCCATTTGCCTCACCAAAAAAAAAAAAATCTTTTAAAAGATAGTCCCATTGCACCCTACCCTTCTCAGACCTCATCTGATAAGTGCTACAGCTTAAGAAGGAAGTAGACAAGCTAGAGAGTCAGAGAAGTGCCACCAAGATGGTGAAGAGCCTTGATTCTTAGTTACGTGAAGATTGATCAAAGGAACTGGAAATATTTATCCTGGAGAGGAGAAAAAACCTGGGGCATATAATAGCTGCTTCAAGGATTTGAAAGGCTTTTATGAGGAGGAGGAGGGAATTAAATTTGCTCTGTTTGACTCCAGAGGGCAGAAGCAAGAGCAAAGGGGACAAGTGGAAAAGAGGCAGATTTAGTCTCAAAGTCAGGTAAAACTCCCTGACAATTAGAGCCAACCAAGAATGGAATGGGCTGCCTTGAGAAGTGGGGGGTGTTCCCTCTCTAGAGAGCTTCAAACAGAGACTGGATGACCACTTAGCAGGTGTGTTAGAGGGGGATTCCTTTCAAATATAGATAGGAATAGATGATTGCTGAGGTTCCTTCTAACTTTCAGATTCCGTGATGTGAATAGTAGTAGCATAGGATATGTAGGCTTGGATGAGTTGGAAATCTTCAAAGCTGGAGTTATAAATGGCTGAAATCACAGAGCTATTTGAACAAAGTAAATATTGCTATAGTTATCTGTCACACACAAACACATGACCTTTCTGTCATTGTGATAGCTTGCAGATTTCTCTCACTTAGTGTTGGGATTTCTAAGTAGAGGTGTTTTGTAGACAAACAGAAATTGGGAATTGGAGAAAGAGCAAACAGTTGCTATTGGGCATATATATTTAGATCTCAGCCTGTCAAGCATTGTGCAGTAGAAAGGAGTGCTGGATTTTGAGTTAGAGGACCTGGGTTCTTCCAGCCTCTGTTATTACCTGTGTAATCATGGTTAAGTCACTTAACTATTCTGAGGTTCAGTTTCCACAATTGTAAAATAAGGCAATGGACTAGATGATTTCTAAGCTTCCTTCTTTTTCTAAATCTGTGATTCTATATCTTTTAAAATCTAAACAGGGGCTTAGTGGTTGATTTTTCTCAAGGCTTCAGGTAGATAAGGTAACTCAACTTGCATATAATTGATAGTAAAGGGTAAAAGGGTGTGAGTTTGTCTAGCTAGTGAATTAAGCCAGAGTTCAAAAGCATTTTTTCTGTCAGGGGTCATTGATACATATTTTTAAAAATCTGATTCCTAGGCTTTTTGAATTGATAGAGGCTTTAGGGGATCATCTAGTCCAACACTTTCATTTTATGGATGAGGAAACAGATATAGAGTCTAGAGAAGTAAAGTAATGTCAGATCACTCAGATAATTAATAGCAGAACTGAAACCTAGAACCCAGCTCATCTGTCTACCAATCCAATGCTCTTTCCATTGTACTCTACTGTGCAGGCCATAAATAAGTAACATTGCACCATAAACTATAGTATATTTTTCTTTGTTCGAAAAGGAAATTAGCAAAGTTGAGGAACTATAAAGTCATCATGTTGTATTTATTGTCAACAAGGATTTGTTGAGTTTTTCTAGCTAGAAGGGAGCGAACTGTTAAAAATCAAGGCCAAACTAGAAACAAGATAAGAAGGTACTATCTGGAGATATAGCAACTCTCAACTGATTTATCTGAAGAAACTCTTAAAAATAAATAAATAAAGTGAAAGTATTGATTTTCTTTTTTACCATTTCTTGAAGAAGTTTTAACTAATGTAATAATTTCGATAAAGAGGAGGCCAAAAGGTCCCATAAGGTCTTTCAGCCAGGAAATACTTGATCTCCTTGGCACGCAGAGAGATATGGTTACCAGGGACGCCATTGTGTCTGGGGGGGAGTGTGAAAAGTTGGGGCTCTTCTACAATAAAGACGTTGGGGAACGTGTTATGATTTAGGGAGGGCCAGACTTCCATTGAGGTGATCAGTGCCTGGCACATTTGTTCAGTTGTTTCAGTCGTGTCCAACTCTTTGTGACCCTATTTTGGGGTTTTCTTGGCAAAGTTACTGGAGGGGTTTGCCATTTCCTTTTCCAGTACATTTTACAGATGAGGAACTGAGGCAAACAGGGTTAAGTGACTTGCCACGGGTTGCACAGCTAGGAAATGTCTGAAGCCAGATCTGAATTCAGGAAGATGAGTTTTCCTGTCTCCAGGTCCAGCACTCTGTCCACTGTGTCACCTAGCTGCCCCCATCCTGGTGGAACTTAATAAATGTTTATTTATTGATTTATTGGGGAAGAAGCTGATTCTATAATTGGAATTTTCTCAATCTCTAGATTTTGGAGTGTATTCAATTTGATACTTATTTTCTTTTTGCGATAGGGGAAGCATAGCAGATATCCCAGGTTTTGCTGTTTACATGAAATTTTGCCATCAGCAGTGGAAATCCTTCAACATGTTGCATAGATTCTCTTTGGAGGATTTATCTAAATATTTGGACAAAAATTGAATGCTGTGTCTGGTTTCAACCTGCTCTTATGTAAGGGGTATATGTATTAATGACATTTTGGCTCTCTGAAGGTTTTTGAAGTGGTCTAGACCTGGTACCAGGCAACAAAGAAAAGACTTATTTTCCCATTATATTTGGTGGGTGGAAAAAAATTGAGGTTTGTCCAGGAGAGGACATTGGAGAATATGGTATGGTTTGGGGACAACCAAACTTCCATTGAGATAAGATAGAAAGAGATGAGGAAAAAGTTCATGATTGATCAGAATTCCTATTAGTGGAGAAGGGCACAAGACACAGAGGATATAGGAGAGCATATATTCATAATTTGTTTCAGGTGAGTTGGATAGAACAAGGATTTAGGTGGAGGTAACTGAAGAATATATTTGTACTGGGAATAACCAGAATTTGAGGAGGAATGTGCAGAAGGAAAGAAATGAGTGTAGACTCATTCTCAACTTTAGTCAGAGAGGAGCCATGCTTTTTGATCTGATCCTTATATTTTGATGGCGTGGGATGGGGATTGTTACTATTTTTGAGTCAGTATTCTTCCCTATTATGTATTAATATTGACAGAAAAGGGAAAACTTGAGAAAGCATCTTGTTGATAGGAGAGGAGAAGTTATTTTAGTGACCATATAGTATACTTTGTCATTAGACAACATTGGAGATACTGATAATATTGGAGGTATGACTGACTCTATTGGATAACAAATAATCTTTGATTAATATTGGAAGGTTGTAGCTTTGTTGTATTTAATTGGAAATTAATATTTGGAGTGAGATTAATGTTAGTGTTAACTGCATCCATCTTAGGGCGAGTTTAATTCATTCTTTGAGTTTTAGAGTAAGTGAATATCTCATTTAAAATTCACCCTCTCTCCTTAGAAGACAAGTAATAAGGGTGGACTTGAGCAAATTAACAGCACGCTGTGTTTCCCAAGGGGATCCTTGAATAGCAACAAGAATTGTGAGACTAATTATTAGAGGTAAGTTTCTGCTGTGTAACAGGATTCAGTGCTTCTCAATAAAATTTTAAGTTCCGTAAAAGCAAGAAGCATATCACATCCTTCTGTTTTACTCCTCACCCCCACTCCCAATTCTGCTGTAAGTGATACATATGGTAACTGCATCTAGTAGATTACAAATTATATGTTATTACTTTGCTGTTTTATCAATGTCTTACACCCTATTCAGTGCTGCTAACTTCACTCTTATGAGTAATGTAGGGAATTAGCTGGTCCTGGGCAAGCAGAAATGTGTTTGTGTTTCAGGAATTGGTGACATTCAAGGACGTGGTTCCAGACTTCACTTGGGAAGAACTGGTGCAACTGGACCCTGTCGAGCAGGACCTATACAGAGATGTATTGCTGGAGAACTATAGGAACTTGGTTTTTCTTGGTAAATTTTTCCCTTATGACTCAGAATCACAGATTTGCAAAGACCATGGGCTTTCAAAAGTATTAAATTGAGTTTATTTTTTAGTGTAGAAACCAGAGAATCTTGATCCTTTTGTATTATAGAACTGAAAATGGGGCAGTTTCTTTCCCCCATTACTAACCTGGATACTGTCCTTTCCATTCCTTTGCCCTTTTGTGTCCAGATTTTCTGCCAACAACCCAGTGCAATATTTCCACAGGTGGGAGATTTGTATTCTCCTCAGCTCTATGGCCTATCCTCCTATATTTTATGGGGATATAACACTGAGTACCCTTGAAGTCCTTTGAATTGTAGTTAATTAGCTTGTTCTCTCCTCTCTAAATATGTGGAGTCTTAGATTGTATTTTGGAGTGATTTTTAACCACACAAATATCCATTTCACTTTTCTTTTCTGTGAACAGGGCTTTCAGCTTCCAAACCAGATGTGATCTCCCAGTTGGAACATGGGAAAGTGCCATGGATGCTAGAAAGTGAAGCCCCAAGAGGTACTTGTCTATTTGAGTAAATGACAAACTAGCAGACAGGAATTTATTATAAGCATTAAATTTTGTCAGTTAGGGAGAAAACACGTTGGAAATGTTGATCCAAGAAACTCTTCAAAATCTTTAGGCCCTGTTGACAAGGGCTGAGAGAATCTTAGATTCCTCATCTAGAAAATGATTATAATAATAGTTTCACTACCTGTTCCACAGGGTTGTTTTGAGAAAAGTGCATTGTTAACCTTAAAACAGCTATAGAAATATGAACTATTTCATCATAGGCATTTTTTCCCCTCATTTTGTTATTCCACTCTTACTGTAAAGGTTTCCTCCTACAGCAGGGGACATTTATGTTTTTAAACTTCTTTCAGATTCTGACAGCAGTTCTGAAGCCAGGGCATCAGTTGAAAAGTGGGAAACATCTGTGAAAGGATCACCTCAGGGAGCAATAATGGAAAGATCCAGAAAACATCGTTCCTGGAACTTCAAACTGAGAGAAGCCTTTCACTGTTATGGGAGATTAGTGAGGCAGCAAGGCCACCATGAGCATTTGAAGCAAGAAACTGTCATACATGAAGAAGTTTCCAGTAATGAGAAAGGCTTTGAGAATAACGAGTTTGGGAGAAGTTTCAGCCTGAGACCAATCCTAGATACAGACCAGGCTCCTATAGTAAAAAACGTCTGTAAATATGATACCTGTGGAAAGAACTTCAGAGATGATTTAGGGCTAATTAAGTGTCAAAGAACCTTCACAGGAAAGAAACCTTTTCTATATAATGAATTTGGGAAAGCCTTTAGCCACATTTCACAACTTAATCTTCATTATGATCATCATTCTGGAGAGAAACCCTGTACATGTAATGAATGTAGGAAAACTTTTACCAAGTGGGTAAACATTGCTGAACATCAGAGAATTCATTCTGAAGAGAGTACAGATCATTATAAATGTAATGAATGTAGTAAAGTGTTTACTGAGAGGTCAAACCTTATACAACATCAGCAAACTCATTTTGGAGAGAAACCCTTTAAATGTAATGAATGTGGGAAAGCTTTCAAGCGAATTTCACAACTTAATGTTCATTATGCTCGTCATTCTGGTGAGAGGCCCTTTACATGTAATGAATGTGGGAAAGCCTTCATCAAGTGGGCAAATCTTACTGACCATCAGAGAATTCATTCTGGAGAGAAACCTTATAAATGTAATGAGTGTGGGAAAGCCTTTACCAAGCGGTCAAACCTTACTCAGCATCAGCATGCTCACATTGGATTGAAACCATTTAAGTGTAATGAATGTGGAAAAGACTATAGCTACCTTTCACAACTTAATCTTCATCAAAGAATTCATTCTGGAGAGAAGCCCTATAAATGTAATGAATGTGAAAAAGCCTTTACTAAGCGGGCAAACTTAAATCAACACCAGAAAATTCACTCTGGAGAGAAACCATACAAATGTAATGAGTGTCACAAAGCCTTTGCCAAGCAGGCAAACCTGACTCGACATTATAGAATTCATTCTGGAGAGAAACCCTATAAATGTAATGACTGTGGCAAAGCATTTACCCAGAGGGCACATGTTACTCAACATCAGAGAATTCATATTGGAAAGAAACATTATTGAAAGTATTGGTGGTCAGAAAAGTTTGTCTGAGAGCACATCTTAATCAGCATAAAAGAAAGTGTAATGAAGAGAAACCTTGTAAATACAGTGACTCATTTTTATTCAAATTTCTTTGTCCTTTTTGGAACCATAGACTATCAGACTCTACAATTCGCACTCTGTTTGTAGTTCTGTTGTCTAGGGTCAAGTAAAACAAACTTCGATAACAGAGCTACAGAACCAAAGAGCTGGCCACTACTTTAAAGGCTATCCAGTCTTCTATGCAACCAGGAATCCCTTCTATAGTATCCCTTACAAGTGGGTTTTTCGTCTTCTTCATGAAGACCTCTGATGAGAGTGAACCCACTGTCTCCCAAGATAGCCCATTCCACTTTTTGTTAACTCTCCTTTTTAAGAATTTTTTATATCTACTAAGTTTAAACTTGGCTCTCTGCAGTATCCACCCATTTTTCTCAGTTCTGCCAAATGGGGCCAAGCAGAACAACTCGAATCTGTCATCTATATGATAACCTGTCAATATTAGAAAGGCAGTTATATTCCTTCTGTATCTTAATTCCCCCTGACTATATGTGCCTAGTTCCTTTAACCAGTCCGTCTCTGGATATTTTCCAGTCTTCTTACCGTCCTACTCACTCTATACTAGAATGTTTCCTTATATCTTTTTCTAAAATGTCATCTAAATATGACTTGACCAAGATAGAATATAATGAAACTATTACTTTATTTCTCCTGAATACTTTGCGTCTCTTATTGCAGTCTATAAGTCCTATGACTAGCAAGAGCTGCCACATTTTTTTGATCTAGTAGAATCAGTGTAGAATCTGTAGAAAGCCTGTAAAGTAGAACATACAATGAGCAGGAAGACAAGGTGTCCATGTCATGGCCTTCATCTGTCAATGAAGAGTTTTGTCTACTTCTTGGAGTTGTCTGCTTCAGGGCAAGCTTCCTTCTGAGTGATTTGCAATTTAAATGATCTAGTGGGTGAGCTCTGGAGAGATGGCTTGGTTGCGCTGGAAAGTGGGGACCTAGTTATCAATACCTATAAGTTTGACTGTAGTAGAAGCAGTTAACAGTATCTGATGAAGCCCTTTCCATCTAGGCTTCTTTGTTCAAATGTTTGTTCTAACAATCCCAATGGCCTGGTTTCAAACAGGAGAATGAGCCCCTGGGTGGGCCCTGAGGACAGGCAAATGAGAATTGAGCAAAATCTGGAAAGCTTCCAACAAAATAATTATTGTAGAATGCGCTGGAGCAGAGTATGTAGACACTGATTAGAGCCAAGGCTAGAGCCTCCTTGGCCTGCTTGTAACTATTTCCTAGGGAGGCAAACAGTTTAATTCTTAAGAGGTAGATTAGAATATAATGAGGACAGTTTGGAGCACATCCTACAGTGAAAAAAGTTGTTCCATAATTTGACCAGTTAAAGTTTCAGTACATTAATTTACTTTCCACTTCTCTTGAGTTTTGGGGATTGGGAGAATAGGGAAGGTTTGAAGAGTGGGAAACTTTGAAGAGCTGTTAAACTGTGCTCCCTTAGTCACTGGATACTTGATAACAGAATTTTTCATATAGGATATATGTTATTCAAAAGAATCTTAGGTACTGTTATGGCAATAGCCTTTTGGAGAGAAAAAACCTCCAATCAGAAATCATGTGAATAATCAAAGCATACTCAGACTCTTTAGACTTTAGAAATTGTAAGAATTCTACTTGTAGATGGACTACAGAGATGTACTTCTGTCCTTGTCATGTCCTTACAGGTTTTTCAGAGTTGTATAAATTACAGACAGAACAAGAGAAAAGTGGCCTCTTCACTGGGCAGGTACAGAGTGCAATGGATTGAACACTGGGCCTGGAATCAGAAAGACCTGATTTCAAATCCAGCCTCAGACACTTACTAGCTGTGTGACCTAGGTCAGTCACTTAAGCTCTGTCTGCCTAAGTTTGCTCAACTGTAAAAAGAGGATCATAGTAGTATTTACCTGCCAGGATTGTTGTAAGGGTCAAATGAGATATAATATTTGTAAAGTGCTCAGTACAGTAACTAGCACACAATAAGCACTTAGTACATGCTTGTTTCCTTCCTTGCAGCAGAAAAATTCCCTCAACACCAATTTGATAAAATCTTAACTAGATTTTTTTGCCTGAATGGGTTAGGCTATGTAGGGCTATCACTAATGGATCTGTACTTAGGGACCAGTAGGATACTGTTCCTGGGCTTTTATATCCCATACAGATTCATGGAAAAATTACATTGGAGCCAAGTTTGTTTCTCTTTAGGTGAGACAAGTTTCTGTACGTCCTTCATTTTAGCTATCCAGTCCCATGGATCCAGTTTGAGTCTCAGGCTCCTGAAGTAGACATTTATCAGAAACAGAGATTGTGCATGTAGTTTGACTTTCATGACTGGTATCTTTAGTGGCCAAAGAACAACATCATAAAAGCCTTGTATCTGGAATCTGGCCATTATTGGACTGTTAGTAGATATAAGGAAGCCCTTCTCTTTCCAAAATATTCTAATGTACTACACCAAAGGCATGCTGTCATTGTATCTGTCTATCTTTCTATCTGTCTGTCTGTCTACCTGTCTGTCTGTCATCTAGATAGCAATAGGAGATCTCATATATAGGCTGTCTTATAAATGACAACTCAGATTAAAGCTGTGAGTTCAGCAACATGAGTTGAGTGTTCATGGTGGAGATGTATTTTTCCAAGAACTTGATGAGGCGTTTTAACAGCATAATCTGCAGAAAGCATTGCTTGTTTGTTTTGCAGTAAAATCCATCACAGAATGCATTTGAAAGGAATTCTTCAGACAGATCTGATCTAGGGAGATAGGTTGTGTCAGTAAGGGTGATGAATTAATGGAGCTTTCCTCTGGTAATGGGAAAAGGGGAGCCGCATGTAACTGGGAACATCTTTAGGTTTAGGGAAATCCTTAGCTATTGTCCTAAGTTGATGTCTCTTCCAAGAAGAATAACAGAGATGACTTCCTGCTCTGGATGTTCTGTTATCTGAACCAGGCGTTGGGGAAGGGTAAGTCCTTGTTTTGAGGAATTATTATTCCTAGTCTTGTTTGCTATGGGGGAAGAGAAAAGAGGCTGTCGTTTTCTTGAGTTGCCCCAATGCCAAGGAATCCTTGACTTTGCCTCTTCTTCCTCAGCTTCGGTGGAGGGATGAGCATAGCGGTGCTAGAGAAGTGCTAGGGGTGGGGAGTGAATTAGCAGCGCTAATTCTGGACTTTTCTGGAGTGTAGTTTCTTTTAACTTTTTTCCCCTAGTCTCTTTCCTGCTTCCGTATGCAAGTCGAAGTATGCCCTCCATTAGAAAGGTCCATTGTTTCATTATTCCCTAATGCTTTAGGATGGGGAAAGATAGTGATCCCTTAAGAGGTCACTGAAATTTTTCATTAACCCTTGTTAATAAATGCCATTTACCCTAATATTTGCAGTATATGACCCATAGTTTTTGTACATATATTTAGCGAGAGAAACTTGGGGAAATTTCTAGCCTGGGTTCCATGAGATCCTAGGGAGTATCTCATGCACCATGAAGTGTGCAAGATTGGCGGGTCAAAACGTGAGAAGCCAGACTGAAAGGAAAAGAGATTTATTAGTATACTAAGGAGGACTGCTTGGGCTGGTAGCAGTTTCTACTTCTTAGGGTACAGATTGGATTTTTATAGTTTTTTAGTCTTGCTTAGAGAACAAAGTCAATCAGCAGCATTCATCAGCAGAAAAGAAAATGGGGATATATGCAAACCTTGAAGCTTATAGAAATTGCTAAATATCAGGTTTATTGCTGTGGGACAATATTTTTCTCTGTGGTCAAGTCTTAATCAAAATATCCAACATTGGAAATAAATCTCTAAGATAGTAAATGTCTCCTTCAAGATAGAATCAGTCAAGCTTATTGCTGTTGTTATCAGGAAAAGAGGGAGGGTTATAAAAAAGTATAACCTAAAGGTTTCTATTTATGTAACTGCTTAACTCTTTTCTTTGACCTCTGAGGTTACTTTCTCTAGGGAAGTGTTTCCCCAACTCTTACAGTACTCATGTTCATCTAGCTCCTCCCTATGCCCTGAGGTAATAAGGTTTTTCCTCCCTTTTAGAGACAGCTGTTTTTGTTTTATAAATAACAGAATCAACAAATAGCCAATTCACAGACAGTTGCCTTCTGATGGGTTTTAGGTGTAATTTTCCCGGGATGTCATTTATCTGATCAGATCAGAACCTGGTCTTACAGGACTGAGTTACCTGAGGGTCTCCAAAGCTGATTATTGGCTCCTTGAGCATGGCCAGTCATACAGTCTTCAAGTGACTCAAAACATATAGATAGATACTTACAGACTTAGAGTTCTATGACTTACATGAAAGTCAATAATGTCCTTGCAAGTCTTTAATCTCTAGGAAATTTTTTCATTTTCAATATGGGCTGCCTTGTGGAAGAATATACCTTAAGGGTCTTTGTCTCCAACACAGATGACAGATGACAAAATTAGACAGAAACAGACAAGTCAGCTGCCTCACCTGGGTTTAGTGAGATCAAAAGCTTCTGGGTCTTCCTTAGAGGAGCTTAAAGGAATACCATGAAGGACAAAAGGAATGAAAATTTCCTCTATGAATCAGCTCTATCACCCCATGCATTCTGACTCATGAATCCAGTATCCTGTCCTAATCATTAATGACATATAAGGAAAAGATAATATAACATAAACAGTCCTCCTTTATTTGAAGAGTTCACAGATGACATCTTAGAAGAGAGAAAATAGATAAAATCAATTTGAAGCTTAACTTACACATGGAAACAAAAAGATATCTAGTTAGTGAAAAAAGTAAGAGATAATTGCTCAATTGTCTGCTTGTTAAGTATAGGAATAAGAATTCACATTTATATTGTGTTTTTAGATAAGTAAAGCCCTTATATACATCATCTCATTTGAATCTCACAGCAATCCTGTGAAGATACTACTGCTATTATCCTGATTTTGTAGTTGAAGAAATATCTCCTTCACTATCTTGAACATGATAGGTACTTAATTAATAAGCATTTAATAAGCATGAACTATGTACTGTACATAGTGCTGGTGCTGGGGATACAGAGACAAAAATGAAAAAACATTGCCCTCAAGGAGCTAACAGTGTTTGGGGAAAACAACAATTTATAATAATTTATACAATAACAACACTTGTAAAAACAACTTTGAAGCTGTAAGAACTATGATCAATATAGTCATTCATGTTTCCAGATGACCGATGATGAAACATGCTATCCACTACAGAGAAGTGATGCGTTTAGAATACAAAATGAGATATGTGTTTTGCATACAGTAATTGACAGAATTTGTTTTGCTTGCTTGACTATGTATATTTGTTATAAGAATTTTTTCTTTTTTTTTTCTTTTTCTCCAGTAGAGAGTAGAAAATAGATCTCTGTTATTTTTAAAAATAGAAGAATTAGAGCTATATGGTGCTACAGATGTGAAATGTTGCATGTACTTTCAAATGAGGCCAGTGTATTAGTTTACTTAACTATTTTATTTTGTTACAAAAGACTTTCATGGTTGTGGGGAGGTTTGGGAGGGAAAGGTAACTTGTAAATGTTGGAAATGTAAAAATAAAACACATCAATAGAAACTTTTTTAAAAAGAAAAAAAAGACAAAGATCTTGGAGCAATTTTGGATGATGGTGAAGTTCAGGGTGCAGCTATTCCAGTGGTGTGCTAGTAAATATTTAACAACTGGTACTCTGTAAAAAAAATGTATGCATGACGCATCTTTAAGTTTAATCAACTTAACATTTTCTCCATGACTTTCTTAAGTCTACACAATCAACAAAACAATAAATCAAGACCTGATTTGTAATGTTTTCATGGTATAAATGTTGACACTGAAAATTTAACAGTTCCTGTTCAAGTTGCTTCCAGCACAACCCTGGACTGGTTCCATGAGTGGCTGAAGTTGAGTCAAAAGTGGAGTCGAAATTGAGAAGCCAAATGAACCTGGAGGCCAGGTTGTTTTAAGGAACATTAATGTAGATATTGAATGTAAGTTGCTTGCAAATATGGATTTTAGAATTCTTTGTATCTTCTGCATTTAACACGGTGCTTGGCACATAGTAGTAGGCCCTTAATAAATGCTTATTGATTGATTAAAGTCACCAAGGACAAGTGGCAATGGGGATGGAGAGGAGGGCAATAAACTGGATGTCAAAGTAAGGAGAATAATCTTCAGGCTAATAGATAACCAAAACAATTATCTAGACAGAGTGATATAGAAGAATGGAGAAGCTGAAATGAAGAGAAGTTGCAGAGGGAGTGTTTTCATGTGTCATTGAGGAAGAAGGAATATGCTGACTTCTGATCCATCGACCAGCTCTGGAGCAGATAGCCTGGGATGAAGTGTCTTTGGGAACAAGACAGTTTTCAGGGAGCACCAAAAAATGGAAAGAGTGGAAGAGGAAGAGCTTATGATAATAAAAGTTGGTATTCCAAAGTATATTAAAGTAGAAAGTCAGAGAAGAATAGGGGCAGTGGAGGGATGTAAAGCATAGGCCTAAGCTGAATAGGGATAAAAATTCAGCAAGATGTAGTATGGGAAATGGCTTTCTGCATGGGGAGTCAGCAGCTCAGAATCCTAGAGATGATGCACACAAGAAAGGATTTTCTATTCTTAGGCCAAGTATCAGTTGATTAGAATATTTGGTTGACAATAGGATGATGCTCTATGATCCAGTGACACTGGCCTCCTTCCTGTTTCTTGCATGAGGCACTCCCATCTCCCACTTCCAAGGATTTTCACTGGCTGTCTCCCATGGAACTCTCCCTCTCTTCATCTCTACCCCTTGACTTCCTGGGCATCCTTTTATGTCTTAGCTAAAGTTCTACTTTCCACAAGAAGCCTTTCCCATTCTTCCTT